TTCGTGGCCAGCGTTTGATAAGGTCCTTAGTGTACAAATTTTATTTTTAAGATGCCTCAATGAAATTAGAATGCATTTTCACGCACTCTTTCTTCCAAAATATACATTCTTTTTACTATTGTACACATTTTTACAAGCAAAATATATATATATATATATTTGCATACAATATAGGATGCAAACCATTGCACACTATTGGTGTATCCATATCACATAACTGTAGCATTTTGATATCACTTTAACTATCATGATTTCACACTGTGGAAGTCTGAGGCTTCTCATCTTGTGAGATACTTAAAATTCTTTTCTAAAGAGCAATAGTGCATTAGTTCAATGCAGTGGATTATCAAATGCCATAGGATGAAGTCATAGCAGCTAAAGTCAAAACAAACTGCTACAATTGTGCAGTGTGGATATGTCCTCTCTTTTTAAGAAGTAACCCCTAATGTGACATGTTATGCTCAATAAATGTGAATATTAGACATTGATACACAAGGGAGGAAAGCTGTATATTTTCAGAGTCTACATGAATTGTTAAGAAAGCATACTGAACAGGTAGGACTGCTGGCCTGGATACTTGTCCATCTTGGGAAAAAGTCAAGTATTATTCTAAAAGTGCAAACTGGAATTTCCTTCCAAGTTCCCATCCTGCTGGCAAGGAAATGGTTTCATTGAGCAATCAGATAATAACAGTCTTTGCTACCTCCACTGAATGGAGACCTGTCAAATTGGCTCACACTTGTACATTCCCCATTGTGAGGTATTGTGCAACTTCCATCTAGATTTGAAAAAGAGTAAATATCTATACTTGATTAATTTTGCCTTGTGTAAGCAGTTGTTCTCTACTTCCCAGTCCATCTAAGAATCATTATCAGTGCCCAGAGGACACATTCACATCTACCCTTTTGCACCGAGGCACAAGCACATCACTTTAACAGTTTGGTTTTGTTTCTTGAACCCTCCATTTAACAACACCGAGGTCATGTTTTTTTCCCCACCAGAGATGGGAAAAAGTGAAATATCTCCTTCAATTTTTGGAGATAGACCCCAAGTTAGAAAGAGGTTAAATACAGAGACAGGTCCAAAACACACTGCAGAAATAATCTAGTTTGAGACTGCTTTAACTTCCCTGGCTCACTGCTAGGGAAACCTGGGAATTGCAGTTTATTGTACCATCAGAGCTCTCTGACAGAGAAGGCTAAATGTCTCACAAAACTACAATTCCCAGAATTCCCTAACATTGAGCCAGGACAGTTAAAGTGTTCTCAAATTGTATTATTTCTGCTGTGTGTTGTGGACCACAGAGAAACAGTCTCTCTCTCTCTCTCTCTCTCTCTCTCTCTCTCTCTGAGACCTGCTTCCTTTCTTCCTGATCTCCAGCCATCTTATACTCTTCTTCACTTTGGAGGGTGAGAAAATCTGTGTGTGTTTTAGGAGCTTATCCCACTGACAAATAACCTGACTGCTCCCCAATGGGATACAGGTGGGTTGTGGGATGCAGGCAGGTATTATCACACTAAAGTCGCTGCCGATTCCACCTGGCAAGTGCAACCCGACTGCATCCCAAGTCCCAGGCATGCTTTGGAGGCTACTTTTCAACTCTGGGAGCTTGCTTTCTTTGAAAAGCAGCCTCTGAAGTGTATCTGGGATTCAGGATGCAGCTGGGTTGCACTCACCTGGTGGAATCATCAGTGATTTTGCTGTGATAATACCTGCCTGCATCCTGCAACCCAACTGTATCATGTTGGGGAGCAATCGGGTTATTTGTCAGTGTGATACGCTCCATAGTCTGTAGTCCCTTAAGTTTAGCTACATTCCTTTAGCCCCCATTAGATTGGTGAGTAATAGAGTTTTAGCTTCCATGCTGTTCCCTGACATTACTTTGAGAAACAACTTGCATTGATTATAGTGTGTTTTGTTATTTTTTGTTGTTATAGTTTTCTGTCTTTTTAATAAAAATTCATCCATCCAGTAGTGCAAAATCAGCTTCCCCTTCTTAGACTCACTCTGGTTAACTATATACTTTTAAAACCTTCATCCTGCATTGTCTTGCAGAGTTAAGGCCTGAAGGAGCTTCCCCCTCCCCAATACCAGTAAACCCAGTACACTGCTCTTAGGAGGAGACTCTTAGGAGGAGACAAACCAGGCAATTAAATTGAAATGAACAAAACTGAATGAGACAGCCTTCAAATACAAACACACACACACACACACACATTAATTTCTTATTAATGCTAATGTTCTCTCTTTTTCTCTTTCTCTCTCTCAAAATTGCTCTTCCAATATCTGAAGTAGGGGAGGGAGGAATAATCATACCAACCCAGGCAATTTCCCCCCAGACTATGCCCCCAAACCATTCTATCCTTAGTTTTTTGGGGGGGTTGGGGCTGTGTGGCCATGTTCTAAAAGAGTTTCTTTCTGACGTTTCGTCAGCATCTGAAGATGCCAGCCACAGATGCTAGTGAAACATCAGAAAGAAACTCTTCTAGAACATGGCCACACAGCCCGAACAACCCACAAAAAACTATGGATGCCGGCCATGAAAGCCTACGACTTCACATTCTATCCTTGTCACTCTCTCAGTGCTCCCCATTGTTCCCTTCCTGTTCAAGTTGTCCTACTGCAGGAACAGCCACAGTGTCAGAGCTTTCCACATGACTAAAAGGATCCCCTCTTTTTACCATGGGGAAGTTGACCCATGAAATATTGGATCTCCTAGGACTCCTTCTCAATTAGAATTTAACATGCTAAATTTTCCCTTAATCTTATTGTACATTCCCTCTTCCTTAAGTCTGCTTCCCTTTCATAATATTCAGCATGTTACCATTGTTTTATGCTTCTGGAATAAGAAGTCATTTTAATGATGCCATTGACCTTCTATAAGTACTGATTTACTGTAAGCATGAAAATAATTTGTTTTATTTGTTTTACAAATGATATGAGTTCCCATAATGTTGTAAAGCTGTGCTTATTTTACATATCCATCCAGTCTGTCATCTTTTCTTACTATATTTTCAACTTATAATAACTTATATTACCTGATGTTCTAAAATATTTAACTGAAATATTTAAACATTGTTCATCAAAGGGAGGGGGAATGCACTCCTGTGAAAATAACAGAAAAAGAATCTTGAATACATGATGATCTTGCTACAATTTTATGAACAGGTTTTGTTTGAACTATTGGGTCTTTGATTTCTTTCCTTCCTACCTTCTTATATTGAAAGAGTGCAGCCTTGTGCAGTTTCATTCCTGGATGACAGGAACAGCTTGCTAATGGTAATTCTGTAACAATATTTTTGTGGGATGAACAAGTGTACCAGACTCAGTTATAGGCCTGTTAGAAGCCTTCAATTTAATCTTTTATATATGTTTGCCTACTTCTGTTTCTAAATATCATTGGACTATAGGTATGAGTCATAAAGCTTGACTTAAAAGCTCCATTTTGCCCTGAAGACAAATTAACTACTTTCCTGTAAGAATGAAATAAATAATTGAATAATTTAAAAAAAATAGTTAAAAATGGATTT